TCTGGGAGGTGCTGGCTTTCTCCGGCTGCTTCGACGTTAACATGCTCACCCAAGCCCTGCACGCCGAACCCAGTGAGCCACCTGCGCACGACGAAGTCATGAAGGAAGAGCGCCGCCGCCTCCACCACGACAAGGCTGAAGCGATCTCGCGCTACAACGAGGGTGAGCGGCTCGCCCGCTATCGGCAAGAGCTCTTACGTGGCGGTGCCACTCAGCCTGCCGACCAGGGCCAGGAGGTTCCCACTCTCACGCGCAAGCAGATGGACGTGCTTCGGAAGTGGGACAGCGGCGAGTTGCGAGCCAACCGGAACCAGGCGATTGTGGCGCTAGGACACGGCCGCCTCCGTACTGCGGGAGGGGATTACCTGGACATCGGCGGCAGCACGGGCGGTGGGTCTCGGCGCATCATCGACTCTTGGCAGCCGCCGGATTGGCGCGACTTCCTGCAAGACGAGCGGGAGAGGTGAGGTTTCCAAGCCCGTGTGCCCGCGGTGCTTCTCAGCCTGCGGTGCTTTTCGCTAGACTCTTTCTGCGGTGCTTTTCTGCGAGTAGTAGGACTCTTTTCAGCCTGCGGGTTTCTGCGAGTCTCAGCCTGCGAGTTTTCAGCCTCCAGGTTTCGCAGGCTCTCCGCTTCGCACGCCGCTCCTCAGTTCCAAGACGTCTGCCAAAGTGCAGGCTTTTGCAGGCTGCCGCTTTTGCAGCCTGCCACCACAGCTCAGCGTGCCGCTTTTGCAGACTTCCAAGACGTCTGCCAAAGTGCATGCTTTTGCAGGCTGCCGCTGTTGCAGCCTGCCACCACAGCTCAGCCTGCCGCTTTTGCAGGCTTCCAAGACGTCTGCCAAAGTGTAGGCTTTTGCAGGTTGCCGCTTTTGCAGCCTGCCACCACAGCTCAGCCTGCCGCTTTTGCAGGCTTCCAAGACGTCTGCCAAAGTGCATGCTTTTGCAGGCTGCCGCTTTTACAGCCTGCCACCACAGCTCAGCCTGCCGCTTTTGCAGACTTCCAAGACGTCTGCCAAAGTGTAGGCTTTTGCAGGTTGCCGCTTTTGCAGCCTGCCACCACAGCTCAGCCTGCCGCTTTTGCAAGCTTTTGCAGACGTCCGCCACCACAGCTCAGCCTGCCGCTTTTGCAGGCTCTCCGTTTCCAAGACCTCTGCTAAGACGTCAATCATCACAGTCAATCATCACATCATCACCAATGGACTCGCCCAGCACACCAGTAGGGACTCAGGTCTTACGAGTCCCTGCACATAATACTTTGTATACAATGTAGTCCTGCGAGTCCTACTGTCCTGCGAGTCTGTGATACGACTGTGTAGTGTCAAGCTCTGTGCGTTGATAGCAGTGTGTGCGTTGATAGCAGTGTCTTGTTTGACCATACATCCATTCAAGTTCCGTGTGTTGATAGCAGTGTCTCGTTTGGACGTACACCCATTCAAGTTCCGTGCGTTGATACCAGTGTCTCGTTTGGACATGCATCCATTCGAGCTCCGTGCGTTGATAGCAGTGTTTCGTTTGGAGGTACATCCATTCAAGCTCTGTGCGTTGATAGCAGTGTCTCGTTTGGACATACACCCATTCGAGCTCCGTGCGATGATAGCAGTGTCTCGCTTGGACATACATCCATTCAAGTTCCGTGCGTTGATAGCAGTGTCTCGTTTGGACATACACCCATTCAAGCTCCGTGCGTTGATAGCAGTGTCCCGTTTGGACATACATCCATTCGAGCTCCGTGCGTTGATAGCAGTGTCTCGTACCAGGACCTTCCTGCTATGCTTTCAGAAATGCTGTACTTCAGCTATGCCTTCGCTCAGGCCATCCGGGCCCTCATGCTGCCAGCTATGCTTTCAGCTCATCATCATCTACGTCATTGTCCAGGCCCCTTCATAATCATCCATTCATCATCCATTTCGTTGTCCGTGCCTCTGTATGCTCAACCCACTTTTCTGTTCTGTATATTGAATGCGCTGCTTCACCACGCCCCGCGGTGCTTCTCAGCCTGCCTAGTCATTTACGGTTCTTTCAGCCAACTAGCGATGGTCAAGAAATTGGTTTTCAAAAAAAAAATCTGTGACCAAAAGGTATCGACCCGCGCTGGTCCCTGGCATGGAGAAGAAAGATTTGGCCACTCCGAGGAGTGCAACTCTTCATTCGCTTCGCTCGTTCCGCCGGCCCATGTTGTAGCATCGCTGGCGCTTGCTTCCGCGCTCGGGCGCGGGCGTCTGAACGGCCTCCTCGGGCCGCTTCGGGGTTCTGAGGAGCTCCTTCGGAGCCTCCTGAGGGGTTCTGACGAGCCTCTGAGGGCCTTTCTGGGGAAACCTCTTCGGTCCTCCTGAGCCTCTGGGAAATCTCTTCGCCTTTCTTGGGACTCCCTGGCGGGCCTCGGGGCCGCGCCCAGAGGGAAAACCATCGTGGATTAACGCGCCTCAGCTCCATTTCGGCCAGCGAACTTCAGGTCGCCGCCGTGCTGCGAGGAGAACGGCAAGGCGCTCCGGGTGCAGACGTGGTGGCAAAGTTACGCTTCAGATGAATGTCATATCTTCACTGTTAGTTGGTGCAAAAACCCCTACAAGCAGATATGAGCGCTTCTTGTACAATGATGCCCTTGTTCGCTGTCGCATTTGCAGTGCTCCTCAATCTTCGAGTGCAGAACTGCATTTCGCATGTGGGGCATGTGCAGCTAAGCAGGCTCGGGATTGTATATGTTCAGGCATCGCATCTCTGCATGGCAATGTGAATTTAGAGCTCTTGTCAGAGTTCGTTTCAGGTATCCGATCGCCAGAAAACCCTGTGTACCAACCATTTGACCCCGAGGATCAACGCAAACTGCAGGAATCCCTGGAGAAAGGTGCTGCGGTGCTTCTCAGCCTGCGGACTTCGCGCAGCACGAGTGTTTTGGTTCGTTCCCGCCACCTCGTGCGTCTGATCTACATTGCTGCCATGACGGGCTTGGCAGCGACCGTGGATGCTGCAGCGCCATACCTAGCTCAAAACGACTTGAAAGGTTTCAGGCATTACCTCGACACTGCGGAGGTCGCGCACCGTGGCGGCCAGCACCCGGGGAAGATCTGTCGCGGCAACATTGCAGCGCAGCTTGTTGAGTTCATGCGCGTCGTCGGCAACAAGATGGCGCAACTGCTCTCCTCATGCACGCCCTCCCTGCAGACGGCCCAGCGGCGACAGGCGCTGCTCAGCCTTGCTCAAGTAGTTTTCCAAATGGCAAGCAAGCGCGAATTCAAGGTCGATGGATGCGGGGCATACAAGTGCAAACGAATCCTGGAAATCACCATGCTGGCTGGGCTCAGTTCCAAACTGACAATGCCGCGTTTGCTGCCTGGTGACCTCTTGGCTTTGTCTGGTCGGTGGCCGGTTCCACGCGGATCGCGCCTTGCCTAGCGAAAGATCATGCCCGGCATGACCACGAAACTTCGCGAACAGCAGGCTTTGAAAGCGATCTCTTTGACACTGGGCTCCGGCGGTAATGGCAAATCGGTTCCTGTCTGCACGATATCCGCAATGTTGTGCTTCTGGAATGAGCACAAGAATAACGTGTTGCAGCGGGTGCAGGAGTGGGTGCCCAAGATGCTGTCGCGGCAGGCGGCGAGCCGCTGAAGCGTTTGCCCACTTTTGCCCGCGGTACTTCTCAGCCCGCGGTGCCTCTCAGCCCGCGGTGCTTCTCAGCCCGCGGTTGCTTTTCTAGACGCGTCTGTGCTGATGGGGCAGCACTGTCTTCTTCGCATACACTTCGAGCTTTTCTAGACACGTCGGTGCTGATGGGGCAGCGCTGTCTTCTGCGCAGACACTTCGACTCTTCTGGGCCGTGACTCCCTGCCAGAAAAATCATACATTTATACCAGATTCTCGTCTTCACCCACGTCCACTGTTCCCTTCGATCATCAACGCGGACATGAACAGTATAGCACAGAGCACGCACAGCACACAGCACACACACAGTGCCGCAGCACATAGAACGCACACACAGTGCCGCAGCACATCACAAAACAACATGGCACACCACACAGCATACACAGCACACCCATACACACACGCACATAACACAAAGGGGTGCGCTGCGGGCGTTGATAGCAGTGTCTCGTTTGGACATATATCCATTCAAGTTCCCTGCGTTGATAGCAGTGTCCCGTTTGGACATACATCCATTCAAGCTCCGTGCGTTGATACCAGTGTCTCGTTAGGACGTACACCCATTCGAGTTCCGCGCGTTCATAGCAGTGTCTCGTTTGGACATACATCCATTCAAGCTCCGTGCGTTGATAGCAGTGTCTCGTTTGGACGTACACCCATTCGAGCTCCGTGCGATGATAGCAGTGTCTCGTTTGGACATACATCCATTCAAGTTCCGTGCGTTGATAGCAGTGTCTCGTTTGGACATACACCCATTCAAGCTCCGTGCGTTGACAGCAGTGTCTTGTTTGGACACACATCCATTCAAATTCCGTGCGTTGATAGCAGTGTCTCGTTTGGACACACATCCATTCAAATTCCGTGCGTTGATTTCATATTGCTACTACTACTGCGACTGTTACTGCTGCTGCATGCCTCCAGCTATGCTTCTACATATCGATGTTAGGTTGCTTCGCCGGGATAATTTATGACTGTCTCTCTCTCTCTTTTCCTCTTCTCTCTCCCTCTCTCTCTCTCTCTCTCTCTCTCTCTCTCTCTCTCTCTCTCTCTCTCTCTCTCTCTCCCCCCCTCTCTCTTTCTCTATTTCTCCCTCTCTCTCTCTCTCTCTCTCTCTCTCTCTCTCTCTCTCTCTTTCTCTCTCTTGCTCTGTTGCGGATTTACAAACTGATTCCTTCTGTGACGGATTTACACATTGATTCCTTTCGTGGCGGATTTACACATTGATTCCTTTTGTCGCGGATCCGCCACCACCACCGCCGCCACCTTCCCTCCTATACGACATCCATCCACCACTAACGCCCTCGCACCAGAGCCGCGCGCAAACGGGCGGCCGCAGCAGGAGAAGCAGCAGAAAGCACCTTGCACCAGCAGAGCGACCACCGCGACCACCAACACCACGCGCAGCAACACCAGCGCGACGAGGAGCACCGCAGCGGCAACAACGCCCACGACCGCGACCAGCACCACGCGCAAGAACACCAGCGCACAACACAACGCAGCGACCAAGACCACCACGACCTACACCACCACGAGCAGCAGCACCAGCGCAACCCCTCCAAAAGCCGCCGCGACGCGCGATGGGGTTACCGAGGCGTTCGAGCGGGCGAGGCCAGCCACCCAGGACCTCCAGACGCACCCGGGGACAGCCCCCGAACACCGCGCCCGAGACACACGACGTCACCACCAGAGTCGCCAGAGCACGCACCCAGCGGCGCGGCGCCAATCCCGTCGCAGGAAGAGACCCCACCACGGGCTCTGCTCTGGCTACAAGCCGCAGGGTTTCAGCTTGGCGCGCCAGCCGTGCCGGACCACTTTGGCGCCGTCTTCGGGAGGGCGCCAGAAGGCGGATGGAATTTTGCGGGCTTATTCGCCCCGCACGGGGACAGGCAGGGCGAGGCAGCAGAAGCGGCAGCAACAGCGCGGGAGGAGCCGGACCGACCACCAGCGCCGGCAGAAGATGCCAACATCTGCGTCGTCTGCCAGGAAGTGATCCCACACCATGGGGCGGGCAGGGACACACCAACACAGGAGGCATGCTGCGGCGCCCACTTCCACTTGGGCTGCCGCGCCGACTTGGCCCGCCACCTTGGCGAAGCCACCACTTGCCCGCAGTGCCGAGCCAGACTTCCGACCACCGCCGAGTTACGGGCATGGTGCGCCGCACAGGGCGTGGACATAGACCGACCGCCGCCCCCGGCCCACGACGCCAGCGCCCGGGCCGTCCCAGATTACAAAGGGTTTCGGAGCTACGCGCGAGGCGAAGAACCACCACCACGGGAGCCACCGCTGCTCCGAGCGCTCTGCTGCCGACGTCTCGGCCCACCAGCCGAATTCTCCGAAGTGCCAGACCGCCGCATGGAATGGTCCCCGGAGATCGCTGCACGAGACACCAACGGGATGATCACGCAGTGGCTTGAGTCATGGATTTGCCCACGCTGCGGGGCGCGCTGCGCTGCCGACACGATCGCGCCACAGGGCGGCCAACAGATGTGCGCGAGTTGCCTAGAGCAGGGCACGTGAACCGCGGAAGCCAGCACGGCCGAAGGCGAATGGAGGTGCGCTTTGTGCGAACCAGACGCATGGACCAGAGAAGCGCCTTCTGCCCCACCACCAGCCCCGCCAGGGCCAGAGCCACCACCACCAGCCCCCCCAACAGGGCCAGAGCGAGCCGCCGCGAGGCCGCCACAACACAACCCTTTCGCCGGCTGGGCCCCACCGCAAGCGCCCCTCCAGGCACGCACCAACGCGGCAGTGCACGCGCCCCTGCTGCTAGCCGCCGCCGGGCTTTTCGACCCAAGCGAAGGGGCGCAGTGGAGTGCGCACCGCCTCACACAGGCCTGGTGGCAGCCGACGGTAGAGACGTTGCGGCTTGCAGGACCTGTACTAACTGGGCCCTTTGTCCAAATGCTGGCGCACACCGACGCTCGGCCCGGGGAAGTACCAGCGGTGCTTGCTGCAGACGGAGGAGAGCGCACAGGGCACGTATCCTTTGCGCCAGTCGTCCAGGCCGTGGCGCACAGCAGCACCGGCTACATACAGCCGCTGGTGCAAGACCTCCTCCTCGAAGCATTCGGCGGCGGCGTGCTTGCACGAGGAGTTGACGCACGCACAAACGAGCTGCGCAACCCAGGTTTCTGGGCAGACGCGGCGCCTCCGCCGCCGCTCCCACCGCCAGAGGCGCCCCAGGAGCCGGAGCTGCCTGGAGACCAGCACGCGAACGGCCCTGCCGCCGTGGCGGGCAGAGGCGCCCCCGGAGACAGAAGCGGAAGAGGCGCCAGAGAAAGCAGACGAGGAAGAGGCGCCAGAAGAGGCCGAGGCGGCGGAGGAGGGGGAGGAGGAAGCCCGAGCAGCGGCAGCGACGGCGGAAACACGGGCGCGGAGGAGGGAGACGCCAACGACGGCGACAGCAACTCCAGCACCGAGGAGACCGACCACGAGACCGAACCAGCGCAGGCCCCAGCCCCGAGCAACGGACCCACCGAAGAGTCCTGGGCAGCTCTCGTTAGCATCGACCTCCAACAAGAGCTACGGAGATTCGTGCCGACACTACAGAACGTGCCACGTTTCCTGCGCGCGGAGACCCGGATGGCGTTCACCACGGCCCTGAAGAGGATCAAACGAGGACACGACCAGGGCAACCAAGCAACAACCCACCAAGGATGGACACTGTTCCTCCTCGCCTCGAGGCTCCTGCTAAGCAAGCCCAAGGGTACCGACGCCGAGGGCCGACAAGAGCTCTTGGAACGCGCCCAACGGTTCCGCCAGGGCGACTGGCTGGCCCTGCTAAACGAGGGCAACACCACGGCCGGCGCGCGCGCAGCGCCGAGGCCAGCCACAGAGGAGCAACAGCAGGAGAGACGCAGAGAACAGGCTTGCGCGCAAGCCCGAAACGGCAACCCGTCACGGGGGAGACAGGTCTTGACCGCGGCGGCGATTGCGCCCAGCAGCGGGGAGACACTAAACAGGCTGCGGGACCCGGCCCGCCGACCGCCTACCCTGAGCCGCCGACTACCCGCGCAACCGACAGAGCGAGACTCGACAAGACCAAATTCCTCGCTTGCCTCCGGTCCGCCAAAAAGGGCACGGCAGCAGGACCGTCGGGGGTCCGCGTTGAGCACCTCAAGCCGCTGCTGGAACACGAAGAGTCCATGGACCTGCTTGGATTCGCCGCCGCTGCCCTCGCGGAGGCGCGGGTGCCCTCCCCGATTGCCCGCGCTCTAGCCCTCAGCAAGATGATGGCACTCCAGAAACCAGACAACGGAGTACGGGGCATCGCCACCGGCGACGTTTTCCGCCGACTGGTCACCAGGGCGCTCGCTCAACAGTTCGCCGAGCAGCTCGCGGCCGCAACTGCGCCCTTCCAGTTCGCCCTGACGACGCGGGCAGGAACCGACTGCGCCGCCATGCTGCTGAGGTCAGTGCTGGACCACGACGACGACGCAGTGATTGTCAGCATCGATGGAGTCGGGGCTTTCGACCATGCGTCGAGGTCGGCCTTCTTCCAGGAGCTCCTTGCTCGCCCAGAGCTGGCCGGCTTAATCCCCTTCGTGAAGATGTGGTACGGGCAAGACTCCACCTACCTCTGGCAAGACGAAATGGGGACTGTGCACGACGTGCACCAGGGAGAGGGAGTGGAGCAGGGGGACGCGCTGGCCCCAGCCCTCTTCGCTCTTGCCCTGCACGGAGCGCTGGCGGGCGCCTCCAGGACCCTCGAGCAAGGGGACTTCCTAGTCGCTTTCTTGGACGACGTGTACATCAATGCCTGGACGACACGGAGGACTCGGGCTCCAAAGCGCCGCGCGCACGTCCCCAGCGGCCTACTGGGGCGCTTGGGCAGACGCCCTACACATGCTCCACCAACGGCGCCCTGTTGAAGCTGCAGCGATCAGGGACCTCCTCGACGGCACCAGGCCCAGCCGTAGGGGCAACCTTGCCGCAGCCGCCGCGGCCGCACAGCTGCTCGAAACCGAAGGCTTCTGGAGACCTTCCTGGACCGACCTGCTCCAGGGGCTGCGCCCAGAAGCGCCACCGCGCTCGGAGGCCGCCGAACCGGGGGAATGGCAGCACGGCTGGCAGTTCCACGCATGTTCCGCACGCAACACACACTACAGGGACAACGTGTTCATGCCCAGCCTCACCAGGGCCAACCAGGCCATGCTAAGGTCAGGCTCAGGACCGAGGGCCGCCTGCTGGCTTCACACCTTACCCACCACCGAGGGGCACGAGTTCAAGCCCGCGCGGTTCCTGGCAGCCTTGCGCCAGCGCCTCAGGCTCCCGCTGCCGCTCCTCCCGCACACGTGCGGGGCAGCCGGCCACCCAGGCTGCCGGGCCCGGCTGGACACGCTGGGAGACCACCTAGCCGCGTGCCCACGCACCGGGCTTCTCGCCAGACGCGCGAAACCACTCGAACGAGCTTGGGCGAGGGTCGCCAGAGAAGCAAGAGGGAGAGTTGTCCCTCAACAGCTGCTGCGGGACACTTACGCCGTTGTCCACAACCCGCTGGACCGCAGACAATTAGACCTAGTCGTCTACGGCATCTCGCCGAACGGCGTCCCGCTGTGCTGCGACAGCACCATGGTGCCCCCCCTCCGCAGGGACGGCTCGCACCGGCCGCGCACCTTCGACACCGACGGCGCCGCGCTACTTGTGGCCAAAAGGCGCAAACAACGCAGGTACCACGAACTCACGACCAGCCATTCAGGCCGCCTCATGGTCCTCTCCTGCGAGGTCGGAGGCAGGTGGGGCAGCGACTCCCTCCAGCTGGTACGCCTGCTTGCCAAGCAGAAGGCGCGGGCCGCACCGGCCCTCCTCCGCCGCTCCGCGGAGCTCGCGTACACCAACTGCTGGTGGGGGTTCCTGAGCGTCGCGGCCCCGGGACGCGCTCATGGCCACCCTGACGGGCGACGGCCACCTAGCCTTGGGGGGAGCCGCCGGGGAGGACGACCCAGACCTGGCCGAAGTGCTGCTCGCAGACTCCGCCGGCCCACCCGCTAGCCGCCTGCCAGCACGCCCCTGATGCTTGGCACCGCGGCCAGCACGGCCGCCCCCGGGGGGCTCCGACGAGCGCCAGGAGCACCCCCGACACGGCAGCGGGCACCACGAGGAGACCAGCAGTACCACCACCACCACAACGGCGACCAGCAGCACCATCGCTTCGACTGCGACCCGCAGCAGAACCACCACCAACACCACCACCACGAGAGCGACCCGCAGCACCACCACGACCACGACCAGGAGCACCACGACTGCGACCAGCAGCACCACCACCACCACGACCAGCAGCACCACCAGCACCACCAGCACAAGCAGCACCACCGCGACTGCGACCAGCAGCACCACCACGACTACGACCAGCACCACCACGACTGCAACCAGCAGCAGCACCACAACGACCAGCAGCACCACCACCACGACCAGTAGCACCACCAGCACCACCACGACGGCGACCAGCAGCCGCACGACTGCGACCAGCAGCACCACCACGACCACGACCACGACCAGCAGCACCACGACAGCGACCAGCAACACCCCGACTGCAACCGGGAGCAGCAGCACCGAGACAGCGACCAGCAGCACCACCACGACCAGCACCACCAGCACAACAAGCACTACCACGACTGCGACCAGCAGCACCACCACCACTACGACCAGCAGCACCACCAGCACCACCAGCACAAGCAGCACCACCGCGACTGCGACCAGCAGCACCACCACGACTACGACCAGCACCACCACGACTGCAACCAGCAGCAGCACCACAACGACCAGCAGCACCACCACCACGACCAGTAGCACCACCAGCACCACCACGACTGCGACCAGCAGCGCCACCCACGACTGCGACCCGAAGGACCACCACGACCACGACCACGACCAGCATCACCACGACAGCGACCAGCAACACCACGACTGCAACCGGAAGCAGCAGCACCGAGACAGCGACCAGCAGCACCACCACGACCAGCACCACCAGCACACCAGCACTACCACGACTGCGACCAGCAGCACCACCACCACTACGACCAGCACCACCACGACAACGACCAGCACCACGACTGCTACCAGCAGCACGACGACTGCGACCAGCAGCAGCACCACCACGACTACGACCAGCAGCAGCACCACCACCACCACGACCAGCAGCACCACCAGCACCAATAGCACAAGCAGCACCACCACGACTGCGACCAGCAGCACAACCACGACTACGACCAGCACCGCCACGACTGCAACCAGCAGCAGCACCACAACGACCAGCAGCACCACCACCACGACCAGCAGCACCACCAGCACCACCACGACGGCGACCAGCAGCCCCACGACTGCGACCAGCAGCACATCGACTGCGACCAGCAGCACCACGACTGCGACCAGAAGCAGCACCACCACGACTGCGACCAGCAGCACCACCACCACGACAGCGACCCGCAGCACCACCACGACCACGACCACGACCAGCAGCACCACGACCACCACGACCAGCAGCACCACCAGCACCACTAGCACAAGCAGCACCACCACGACTGCGACCAGCAGCACCACCACGACTACGACCAGCACCGCCACGACTGCAACCAGCAGCAGCACCACCACGACCAGTAGCACCACCAGCACCACCACGACGGCGACCAGCAGCCCCACGACTGCGACCAGCAGCACCACCACGACTACGACCAGCACCACTACGACTGCAACCAGCAGCAGCAGCAGCACCACAACGACCAGCAGCAGCACCACCACCACCACCACCACCACGACGGCGACCAGCAGCCCCACGACTGCGACCAACAGCGCCACGACTGCGACCAGCAGCACCACGACTGCGACAAGCAGCACCACCACCACGACTGCGACCCGCAGCACCACCACGACCACGACCACGACCAGCAGCACCACGACGGCGACCAGCAGCACCACGACTGCAACCGGGAGCAGCAGCCCCGAGACTGCGACCAGCAGCACCGCCACGACCAGCGTCACCAGCACAACCAGCACTACCACTACCACGACTGCGACCAGCAGCACCACCACCACTACGACCAGCACCACCACGACTGCGACCAGCAGCAGCACCACAGAGACCAGCAGCACCACCACGACCAGCAGCACCACCAGCACCAACACGACGGCAACCAGCAGCCCCACGACCGCGACCAACAGCGCCACGACTGCGACCAGCAGCACCACGACGGCGACCAGCAGCAGCACCACCACCACCACGACCAGCAGTACCACAACCACGACCGCGACCCGCAGCACCACCACGACCACGACCACGACCAGCAGCACCACGACTGCGACCAGCAGCGCCACGACCGCAACCAGGAGCAGCAGCACCGAGACAGCGACCAGCAGCACCACCACGACGAGCACCACCAGCACAACCAGCAATACCACGACTGCGACCAGCAGCACCACCACGACTACAACCAGCACCGCCACGACTGCGACCAGCAGCAGCACCACCACGACCAGCAGCAGCACCACCACGACCAGCAGCACCACCACGACTTCTACCAGCAGCACTACGACTGCCACCAGCAACACCACGACCACGACCAGCAGCAGCACCACCACGACTGCCACCAGCAGCTTCACCAGCACGGCCAACAGCAGCACCAGCACCACCAGCACAACCAGCACCACCACGACGGCGACGAGCAGCACCACCACTACTACGACGAGCACCACCACAACGACGACCCCCAGCAACGACGGGCACCACCTGCAACGACCAGCAGCAACGACGCGCACCTGCACGACGACGCGCACGGACGACGCCCACCGCCCCTTCCCCTCGCCTTTCCCTCGGCCTCTGTCCCCTCGTCTCGGTCCCGTCTCGTTCGCCCCCTTCCCCCGCGTCGTTCGCCCCTCGCCGTCCGGCCCGGCTCGTGCCCCTCGCCCCCTCGTCCTCCGCCCCCCGCCCGCCCCACCCCCGCCTGGAGTCCAGACCCAGCCGCGCCTGCGAGACAAGGGAGCAGTGGCAGCAGGCTATGGCGCTGCTGATTCCCAAACTGGGGCCCAACGTCATCAGTTGCATCGCTGGGGTCCGCGCACGCGGGGAAAATGGGCAGCGGCAGCGGCAGCGAGCCAGGGAGGAGAGCGAGGCGGCAGAGGAGGAGAGAGAAGAGGAGGAGAAGGCATCGGACGAGCAGGACCACGTCGAGGAGGAGGAGGAGGCGGCGAAGATAATCGCGCTCGACGTCAGCGGGCAGTGGCAGCGAGCCAGGGAGCCAGGACGCGGAGGAGGAAGAGGAAGATGGGAGGTGATGGCGGAGCCCAGCGTCATCAGCTACAGCTCTGGGATCAGCGCATGCGCGAGAGACAAGCAGTTTCGTTTCGTTTCGTTTCGCGCTCATACAGCACACTCCGGGTCCCGCGCCGGGCGCCCGCGGGGCGCCCGCCGCCCGGCCCCGGGCGCGCCGCCCCTCACAGCTGCTGGTACCAGCCGCTCCGAGGGAGGATATGCACGCCGTCAGGTAGTGGTCTTTCACACCCCATCTTGCCCACACATCGACAACCTCTCTGCCTGCCGCCCTCCCCGCCCACGCCGGACGGACAGCGCGGGACCTTCCTGGGGCGGCCGGAGCGGGGAGGCTCGATCACATGAGGCACGCGCCCGTGTTCCCCCTCCCCTCGCAGCCCACGCGGCGGACGGACAACCGGGCAGGGCCAACAAGCGCCTGTCTAGGGATACGGCATAGCAGGTTGTGCCTCAGCCCACCCTGGCTCGGTTGCGGGAACGAAACCACTCTAGCTCGGGGGGGCGCGCGGGGGGGGAGGCGGAGGGGGAGGCGGAGGCGGAGGGGGCGGCGCTGGCCAAGCAGCCTGCAAAACTGCAGCGCCCACGTAACTGACGTGCGCAGCACGCGCACGCGACGGGAGACCCTCGGAAAAAAGGACTTGTAAGGCGAACTCCGGGGCGGCGCCCTGCATGGGCGGGCCGTCGCGCGCAAGGAGGGCACGGTGCTGAACCGTGGCCTGACACGCTACCAGGGGATGGTCGACTGCTACATTCGACGCTCCGCATGCCCCGCACCGCGAGAGCGTGGCCGGCAGCCCACCCTGGCCAAGCACGGCAAGGGGCCAGCAGCCCGTCATGCGTATGACGGCCCACAACCGGCAATGCTTCCAAAAGTTTGGAGACGACTCCCAGCCCAGAAGATTCCAGTCAGGGAGGGACGGGCCCGGGCAAAGCTCAGCGAAGGAACGGCGCAACGCCGGGAGAACACATGACGCTGCCTTCCTGAATGCTTGCCGGTCATACTCCAACAGCGCTGGGCGCACGACCTGCCAGCGGTACCACTCCAGGAGGGCCCTGCGCCTCGCTGGATGGGCGCGCGCAGCCTCCAACTGCTCCCCAGCGCATGCCGGGTGTCGGTCCAGTTGCACTGGCGGCGACGGAAGGCGGCCAGCGAGCGCAGCTACCGCAGTAACCCAAGAGGGGGCGTGCAGGCACCGGGATGCCTGCCAGGCTCGGGACGCCGGGTGGTCGAGCGGGAGGACTGCGAGCCTGGCTCGCGCTAGCAAGGCACGCTCAAGAAACTTCGTGCCCAGCCTCAAAGGCCACCCGCATTGGGCCACGACCACGCTGTGACGCACGGGCGGGCCAGCATTGCAGCCCAGCAGCTTGCGGCCCCACTCTACCTGTAAGCGGTTGAGGGCCGCTTCAGCCCCCTCGGCTAGGGCCAACAACGGGGAAGCGTATAGGATTACCGACTCAATGCGGGGAGGGACTTGAGCTGCGGCAACTGGGATGGAGAAGCCCCCGCACTCCGCCGCCTGCAAAAGTTCGTCAAACAGCGACCTGCCCCTCGCGAGCGTACTGTGCAGCAACGGCAGAAACGTGAGGCCCGAGTCCACTAGAACTCCTAGAAGCCCTTTCGCGCGCACCACAGGGGCTCCAGCTAGCAAGGGCGGGGGGGCGTCCAGAAGGGGCAGGACTGCCGTCTTCCCCCTATCATAGTTGAAGCGGGCCCTCACGCGCCGTGCGTATCGGCTGCGCGCCGACCACTCTTCCTCCGACAGAACGGCCCTAACGGCCCCCTCTGACGGGCAGGGCGTTGTGATGTCATCCACGAATTGCGGTGACTCCACGTGGTAAGCCCCCAAACGCTCTGTCACGGCAACCCGATCAGCCTGCGACGACAGCGCGCTGAGGACGCCGCGCAGGAAGCGCCTCGCCTGGGGCCACGGCGACTCCTCAGCCGCCGCCAAAAGCGACACCTCCTGCACGACCCCGTCAAGCTGCAGCTCCCCCCGCGGCGGCTCAACGCATTGCGCCGACGGCGTGACTTCCTCCGCGTCAAGGAGCGCTGCCCTAGCAAATGGAGGCACAATCGTGCTGCACCCCTCCGGGAGCACTTTTGCGATGTCATCCGCAAGCCCACGGAGCTGGGTGTTAAAAGCGTGCACAGAAAACCGCCTGCCCTGAGCTGTACCGCGCGAAAGCATAAAAACGGGGCTCAGCAGCCCATGCAAAGACAGGCACTGATGGTCTTGCGCCAACACGTCGTCCAAAATGAGCCAATCAGGCCCGCGGACTCCGGCGTTGTACACGCCCACCAACATGGCGTGGCGGGACGCCACGTCGAAAGCCCACTTGCCATCTGCTAGAGCCCACCAAGTGTGGAGGCCCTGCGCATGCCGCAGCTGGGCGTGCACGACGAGGCCGATTACTAGGGTGAGGGCGTCGCCGACTCCCCCCTGCTGGCAAGGCCCACAATACGCCTCCAGCGCACCGCTATTTCGGGCTATCCAGAGAGCGTCTTGTACCGATGCCATCTCCGTTGCAATGGAAATCGGCCGCAGGGCGGAGAGTGCGCGCACTGTGGTTGGGCCGCACTTACGCAATGGGGTGATCTGCCTGAGTGACCAGATTTTCGCGGTCACGCCGGCGGCGCGAGCGAGGTTCACTAGGGCCTTGGTCAGCCGTACCCCCAGCATGAATTGTGCGTTTGCCTGGCTTGAGAGCGCTCAACACAGCATGCACCTCGTCATCCGTGTAAGGTGGAGCTCGGGCTGGTGCGCCTTCGAGGGCACCCGCGCTGCGGATCAAAGAAACCTGCCGTGCCATGGCCTCCTCGGCCCCCGGATCCTGCTCAAAGTCATTGCGATCGCGTGCAAACAGATCCTGCCTAACAGCCTCAACCATCGCACTGGGCGTAAGCGCGGCCCCCGTGGACGGGTCCGACAGCCTCACCTCAAAACGGGTGCGCACCTGGAAGAAGCTCGACAGGAACCTCTCCGCGGCCCCGGGGTTGGCCTCGCGCAAATGCAAATAGCGGTGGACGGCTCTCCTACGCTCCCCCCACGCTGCGCGCGCAACTTCAAGCTTAAACTCTTGATGCGAGGTGAAACACGCTGGGTTCAGCAACCTACGCGCAGTGGTCTGCGAGAGGCGACGCTTGCCCCCTATCACCTTGGTGGCACCCGCTGCGTGTCCCACCATGGTGTAGGCGGCATCGCGAGCCCAAGCCGCAACGTTAACCACGGCGCGCCTTTGCACTCTGCTGGCCCTGCCTCCGAACCACGGTGGCTGAAGCCAAGGGGCGCATGTAATTGCTTCCACGCTCTCGCTCAGCGCACTGAGGGTGCCGGAGATTTCCCTCAGGCCCTCGTCCCACCTGGGTCCGGACGTCCAGGCGACCCTCCCGTAGCCCGCCGCCCACGGGGCCGTGAACTGGCAGGGCACCTCTGCCATGACGAGTCGGTGGTCGGAGAGCGCAATAAAATCCGGCAGGACCTTGACAGGAAGGGGCGAATCTCTCATGCCTATGAAAAGGTCGATGCAGGTGCCAGACACATGCGTTGGCGCGGGGGGGTTAAAAGCCCCAAGCCCTGCAGCCACAAGCCACTGTTGGATCTCTCTGTCTGCAGGGGATTGCTTGCAGTGCGCGCAGCTACAAGGCTCCACATGGTCAGCAAGATAGTCCAAATGGACATTTGCATCTCCGCCTAAAATCAAGCGCGCCCGCGGGTACCGATGACGACATAAAGCCGCATGCGCTACAATGGACTTCCAGGTGTCTGTGTCCCCGCCGTGCTTCGGGTAGAACGCGCAAAGGATGACAGCAGGACTGGGCGCGGCCCCTCCGCCCCAAACCTCAAACCACTGCTCCCGGTTTGAAGAAAAATCCGGCACCGGGCGCAGCATGTGTTCTACCTCGGGGCGGAAAAAGATGCCTACCGAATCCCACGACCCCGAGCGCGCCCCATCCCAGCAATATGGGAAACCTTGGGGAAGCGTTGCGCCCTCGGGAAACCGCGCCCCCGGGAGGATGCAGATGTCAACCGACTGAGCGTCCAGGGCAAAAGCGACTGCCTCGAGACGCCATTCCAGAAGCTGGTCGGCGCCTAACTGGAGAAAACCGCACCGGCCCGGGTTCAGAGTGCCAAGACGAAGGACGGAGCGGGCGGGGGGGACACAGGAGGCCTCACGCTCTGGGCCTACCTCCTCGACAGGCGGAGGTCCGGCAAATGGCGAACCTACCGCTGCGGCATGCTGTCCCAATGCACGCAAGGGCGGAACGAGGATTCGCCGCAAGATATAAGCCACTTCATCCGCAAAGGCCCAAAGCGCTCGTAGCGCGGACCCCCCTTCCTGCAGCATGTGGTCAGGGCGCGGCGGCAAGAGCTCCAAGAGTGCCAGGGCATCGCGCAGGGCCGCCGCGGCCTCCAGCCTGCGGGGGCTTCGCGCCAGCCACGCCTGGCAGAAGGCGCGAAAAGGGCTCAACTGCCGCTGGGTTTCTCCCCGCTGGTCCCGCCGCACGCAGCTGGTAGCCTCAGTCGCCATCGCTCGGCCCACGACGCGCGGCCGGGCAGCTCCCCCCCCCGTTTCTCAGAGAGCGGCTGCTGGGGGGAGGGCGGGAGGGGGGGGGGGGGTCACGGGCTCCAACGCGGCCATGAGGAGGAGGGGGAGGGGGAGGGGGGCCCCGGCCCTAAGCCAACCGACACGTCCCAGGGTCCGGTGGCCCAGGGTCAGCCAAACCCTGGGCCCGCAGGCCACTCCACGATCCGACGGCCCGGGGTCCGCCATCGCGTTTTCCACGACACCTTAAGCAGGGGTAGGCCGACTCGCCCGAGGGCGGGCGGCATTCGGCAGGAGGGGGAGGCGGGGAACCAGAAGGCGCCTCGCCACTAGGGCTCAGAGGGGCAGTGGACGACGACGAACAATTCCCTGCACTGTCACACTTGCATGGCGAGCGACGTACCAAGGACACAGGACGACAGGACGAGCGGAGCGCAGACCAGCGCGCACCCCCATGCAACGCGCACCCGTGCGCGCGCAACACGCACTTGCCATGCTCAGCAACTGCCCCTGGCCCGCGCGCGCGACAAATGCAAGGCAACAAAGAGTGGCAGCGGGCTCTCTCACTGCCGAGCGAAACGCGGAAGGCGAAGGTGGAGCCAGGTGACAGCAGCTATACCTTTGGGATCAGCACCTGCGTGAAAGACAAGCAGTGGCAGCGGGCTCTATCACTGCTCAGCGGGATGCGGGAAGTGAGGTTGGAGCCAGACGCATCAGAGACAGCCCTGGGACCAGCGCGTCTGCGAACGGCGAGCAGCGGCAGCAGGCTTTCCGACTGCTCTGCGAGATGCGGGACGCGAAGGTGGAGTTAAGCGTCATCAGCGACAGCTCTGGGATCAGCGCGTGCGCGACAGGCGCGAAGTGGCAGCGGGCTCTATCGCTGCTCTGCGAGATGCGGGAAGTGAGGTTGGAACCAGATGCCGTCAGCTACAACTCTGGGATCAGCCCAGGGATCAGCGCGTGCACGAACGGCGAGCAGTGGCAGCGGGCTCAGTCGCTGCTCAGAGAGATGTGGAAGGCGAAACAGGAGCCAAGCGTCATCAGCGACAGCTCTTGGATCAGCGCGTGCACGACAGGCGAACAGTGGCAGCGGGCTCTATCGCTGCTCTGCGGGATGCGGGAAGTGAGGTTGGAGCCAGACGCCATCCGCTACAGCTCTGGGCTCTGGGATCAGCGCCTGCGCGACAGGCGAACAGTGGCAGCGGGCTCGATCGCTGCTCTGCGGGGTGCGGGGAGTGAGGTTGGAGCCAGATGCCCTCAGCTACAGCTCTGGGATCAGCGCGTGCGCGACAGGCGCGCAGTGGCAGCGGGCTCTATCGCTGCCCAGAGAGAAACGGGAGGCGAAGGTCAGCAGCTATAGCTCTGGGATCAGCGCGTGCGCGAAAGACAAGCAGGGGCAGCCGGCTCTATCGCTGCTCAGCGGGAGGGGGGGAGTGAGAGGGGAGCCCACTGTTATCCGCTACAGCTCTGGGACCAGCGCGTGCGCGAAAGGCGAGCAGTGGGAGCGGGCTCGATCGCGGCTCTGCGAGATGTGGGAAGTGAGGTTGGAGCCAGATGCCATCTGCTACAACTTCCTGGGATCCGCCCTAGGATCAGCGCATGTACGAATGGCAAGCCGTGGCAACAGGCCCTCCGACTGCTCAGCGAGATGCGGTGGAGCCAAGTGTTATCAGCCACAGCTATGGGATCAGCTATAGCTCTGGGATCAGCGCGTGCGCGACAGGCGCGCAGTGGCAGAGGGCTCTATCGCTGCTCTGCGAGATCTGGCAGCTACAACTCTGGGATCAGCGCGTGCGCGAACGGCAAGCAGTGGCAGCAGGGAGAGGCGGGCGGCGAAGGCGGAGTCAAGTGTCCTCAGAGACAGCTCTGGGATCAGCGCGTGCGCGAGAGGCAAGAAGTGGCAGCGGGCTCTCTCGCTGCCCAGCGAGATGCGGGAGGCGAAGGTGGAGCCAGATGCCAGCAGCTATCTATAGCTCTGGAACCACAGCTATAGCTCTGGGATCAGCGCGTGCGCGAAAGTTGAGCAGTGGCAGGGGGGCTCTATCACTGCTCAGCGGGATGTGGGAAGTGAGATCGGAGCCGACTGTTATCAGCTACACCTCTGGGATCAGCGCGTGCGCGAAAGGCATGCAGTGGGAGCGGGCTCTATCGCTGCTCTGCGAGATGCGGGAAGTGAGGTCGGAGCCAGATGCCATCAGCTACAACTGTGGAGTCCGGCCTGGGTCAGCGCGTGTACGAACGGCGAGCAGTGGCAGCGGGATCTATCGCTGTTCTGCGAGATTTGGGAGGCGAAAGTGAAGCCAAGCGTCATCCGCTACAGCTCTGGGATGAAGGCGTGCACGAACGGCAAGCAGTGGCAGGGGGCTCTCTCGCTGCTTAGCGAGAGGTGGGAAGCGAAGGTGGCGCCAAGTGCCAAGTGTCCTCAGCTACAATGCTGGGATCAGCGCAGGCGAGAAGAGGGAGCAGTGGCAACAGGCATTCGTGCTGCTCAGCGCGATGCTGGACGCGAAGCTGGGACCCGACGTCGTGGGCCACAGGGCTGGGATTGGCAGGCAGGCGCTCGCACGGCAGGCGGGCAGGGCCGGCGGGCGCTGCGGCCGCGGGCCGCCGGGCTGGGGCAGCTCTGGCGGCCTTTGCGGGCGGCCTTGCCCGGGCGCGGAGGGTCGTCGTCGTCGTCGTCGTCGTCGTCGTCGTCGTCGTCGTCGTCGTCGTCGTCGTCGTCGTCGTCGTCGTCGTCGTCGTCGTCGTCGTCGTCGTGGTAGCGGCGCTGCTTCTGGTCGTCGTTGTGCTGGTGGCGCTGCTTGTAATAGTCGTCGTGCTGCTGGTCGTAGTCGTGGTGCGCGCGGGCCCTGCCGCCGGGGCCTTCGCTGGAGCCCTCTCGGAGGCCTCTTTTTGGCTGTCTTGGGCCCTCTTAGGGCCATGTTCGGCTCTTGGTGGGCTCCTGGTCCGTCTGACGCCGTCGGATGCCCTCCCCTCTCCCAAGGTCCCAGTCCCAGTCCCAGTCCCTGGCCAAGTCCGCAGCGAAAAAGGGGCCGCTGCACCCGGCTCCCTCCGGCTGGCCCCCTGGCTGGGCTGCCGACGCCCGCGGTCGCCTTAGGCGGCCCGACGGGCCCACCGGCCACCGCGCGGTCTTCGCGCCGCCAGCCGCCGCCGCCCGCCGCCCGCCCGGCCGAGCCGCCCTGCGTGCCTCGGCCTCCGGAGGCTTCCGGCGGCGTCCGGAAGCCGACGACGACGACGACGACGACGACGACGACGACGACGACGACGACGACGACGACGACGACGACGACGACGACGACGACGACCAGCAGCACCACGACTGCGACCAGCACCAGCACCACCCCCACGACGATTGCGACCAGCGGCACAACGATTTTGACCAGCAGCGCCACCACGACGGCGACCAGCAGAACCAACACCAGCACCGCCAGCACCACGACGGCGGCCAGTAGCACCACATCGGCGACCAGCAGCACCAATAGCGATGCCGACCAGCCGCACTATTACCACGACAGCGGCCAGCAACACCACGACGACGACGACGACGACGACGACGACGACGACGACGACGACGACGACGACGACGACGACGACGACGACGACGACGGCGACCAGCAGCACTGCAGCGACCAGACGCGCGACCGCCCCGACGATGATGACCACGACGGCGACCAGCACCGCTACCACCACCACCACCAGCACCACCACCAACCGCACCGCCAACACGACGACGACCAGCACCGCCACCACCACCACCACCAGCACCACCACCAGCCGCACCGCAAACACGACCACGACCAGCAGCACCACCACGTCACCACAACGACCAGCAGCCCTACCACCCCGACGGCGACCAGCAGCCCCGCACAGTTATCACGGCGACGACTACGAGCCCCACGCTGCCGACCAGCATCGCCGCCGCGACGGCGACTCGCGGCACCACGCAGGCGACCAGAACCACCACCACCACCACCACCGCGGCGACCAGCAGCACTACCACCAGCACCCCCCCCACCGCCACTACTGCGATGGCGACCAGCAGGACCACGGCGACAAGCAGCACCGCCACCAGCACCGCCACCGCAACCACGACGACGGCCAGCACCACCACGACGATGGCGACTAACAGCGCCACCACCAGCACCGCCACCACCGCGACGGCGATCAGCAGGACCACCACGACGACAACGACCGGCAGCACCACAAGCAGCACCGCCACCACCGCGACGGCGACCAGCAACACCGCCACCACGACGGCGACCAGCAGTGCCGCCACCGAGACAGCGACCAGAAGCAGCACCGCCAGCAGCCCCGCCACCGCGACCACCACCACCACCACGGAGGAGAAGTGGGAGGACGAGGAGGAGGTGCAGTAGGAGGAGGAGGAGGAGGAGGAGGAGGAGGAGGAGGAGGAGGAGGAGGAGGAGGAGGCAGAGGAAGCAGAGGGCGAGGAGGACGAAGAGGAGGGGAGAGAGCGAGGCAGAGAAGGAAAAGGGGACAGACGAGGCGGCGAAGGAGGCAGCCGAAGAGGACCGCGAGACGGCAGCAAGCAGCCCCACGACTGCGACCAGCAACGCCACCAAGGCTGCGAGCCGCACCACTACCAGCAGCAACAAAAACAACGCGACTACGACCAGCAGCACCACCACGACGGCGACCAGCAATTGCCCCACGACTGCGACCGGCAGCAGCACTACCACGACAGCGGCCAGGAACGCCACGATTACGACAAGTAGGACCACAGCCACAAACACAACCAACAGCTCCACCAGCAACAACCACACGACGGCGACCAACAACAATCTGACGACTACGACCTGCATCGCCACCAGCAGCATCACCACGACGACAGCAACCAGCACCACCACCCCGACGGCCACCACCACCGCCAGCAGCACGACCGCGACCAACCGCACCACTACGCGACAGCGCCACGACGGAGACCAGCAGGTCCGCCACCACCAACACCGCGACGGCGACCAGCG